ACATTTAGCATGAAATATAGAAATATATAGAAAATGTCCTAAAACACTAGAAATCTGTCCTGCACCTCCCCCCTTTGCCAACTCGAAATGCACCTGCAGAAAGTGTTTCCTGCTGAACATGTTTCGCTGATGCACAGCTTCCCCTGATCAACGCTAACAGAAAAAAATAAATGTCAGCAGTGTCTAAACAATTGTGGTTATCGGAAGTTGAAAACAAGCAGGCTTAGCAATTCGTTCCATTCTAAATACACAACATGAAGTCACTACATATACATTAGTAAAGAATGTGAAGTGGCAGTTCTAAAAACATTAGCAAGGAGCACAGAAACAGAAAAAAGCTAATGCCAGTGATTCACTTTTGTGCACATATGAGACCAACAGAAATAATTGCAAAAATGATCGCAGCTCTTGCTGGTTTCTCAGGGGTTCATTGCTTCATGCGATCCAAGGTTAACCACACTGTGCACCACTAAAACCCAGAGGGGAGGCTCAGTCACTTCCTCTCATGAAAAGAGAAGTGCACATCCATGCAACTCCTACATGTATGAATTTTGACTTACTGCTGTGTTGGTAACTGTAACCAAGAGCATCCCTACACAACAAAATCTTAAATACATGTAATAGTGAAGAATCCAAACACACCATGTTTAATTTGTCCTCATTCTGTAGGTAACACAACATCCCTCTATTACATTAACCTTAACTTGAAGAGCTCCTCTCAGCTAAACTACAGACCAGACCTAATGCTGCAACTGGCCATTGTTTACAATTAATCTGCTAATTATCATCTAATTTTATTGTTATTAAATGTCAAAAATGTTGTGTTTTTTCTGAATTCAAAAGGTCTACTAGTTGCTCATTTTGTGCAGCCAACATGCCAAAACCTAAAGATATTAAAAACAAAGAGGACAATCCGAATAACAGAGAAGCCAGAAAAATAAGAGCTTATATTTTTAAAATTACCTTAATAGTGAATCAGTTATTAAATAGAGTTTTTCAGTTGTTGTACTGGTTTATCTATAAATGAACCGTTTCAGCTCTATAGCTACAAGTCACTCATCAAATTCTTAGTAAATGGAAATATATATTGCTAATATTAGGATTTGTGACAATTGAAAGACCTTGACAATAAAAAACCCTGAAAACAAATAGATATGGTATAAATTATTCAGGTATTATTTAGGACAGATTGTATGTCGTAACCACTTGCTGTTGTTTCACATGGGACTCCTCCGCTTACAAAATCACTCCAGAAATCTTTTTGACAGCTGGATTATTTATACCAACCATTTCTCTCTCCTTCTCCAACTTTTTTTTTTTTATTAAATCTGTACTTAAATATGTTGTTTACTATGCAATGCATAACTAAGTTCACAATACAAGCCAAACCACTTCCATGTGTAGTTTTAAGAATCTGACAGCTATATCAGCAAGATGACGCACGCTGCACTAAAACGTTTGGATCTTCTGTGAGAAGCAAAACCAAAGATGTTGCTCAACACAGCTCAGCATTGTTTTTGCTGGGTGGATCATCTGGTAACCCACAAAACTAGCTGAGCGCCCTTCCCCCCCCAGGCTCTGTTTGCCACCCGGTCAGCCAGCCGGCCCACACCTGCTGCAGAAAGTCACAGTCCACTCTCGGCCCAGTGGGTCCACAAACAACTCAGCATGACGCTTCATCCATTTCCTTAATTAAACCACACCCAGACACCGCTTTTGTCCCCAACAGGGTGTTGAAGGATCAGGAAGAGCACCTCGCTTCTGACTGCAAGCTCAGCGCGTTTGAAGGAAACCCAACCTAAATGCAGGAATGCCCTCTTCATCTAGCAAACATCTGCCATGAGGCGTGACAATGGATTCAAAAGTGCTGTCAAACAAGCTAAGTCTGTTTCTTCGTTTATGTTTTTGGGACAAAGCATCTGTAGAAGAATGTGCTGGTTCTGATGTCCACATTTTAACCATCTGGCGTTCAGCTGGCTATAAAAAATGGTTTGCTCTGCGTTTTAATTAGTACAATTCACAGCGCAGATTTCTACATTACCATAATAAAAAGAAAGCATCGCAACCACTCAGCCTAAGTTCAATGTGGAAAAAAAAGTAGGAATAAGAGTGAAGTGAGATGTGCTAATTCTGACATAAACAGCCTTGATCGACGTGGGTTTTAACATCTGAGAGCCACGTAAAAATCCAACAAATCAGATTCCCATACATGTAATACACCTAGCAAATACATAAACGTTTTCTAGAAATAGTTATATCCCCTTTTTGAGTTGAAGTATTAACTACAGGATCTGTTTGAGGTTGCGATCTCCCAGCCGTCCTCAGAGAGATGAGATAATGCATTCCAGTTTAACAAACGCCACGCTATGTCACGGAAAACTACGTCACTGGAATATGGGGTGCTTTTTCCCCCCGTTTCACTCTGACTTGAACCCAGACTTCACTCAGTCAGTGTGATGCCAAGAAAATGTGACTTTCTGAAGTTCTAAAACAACACCTGCAACAGTCACAGTCGTATTTCTGAAATAAATCTGTGCGTTAAGAACTTAGAAATAAAGTTATTCACCAAGACCTTTGAAATTAAACATCTTGCTCCCCTCAGATGTTTTATAAAGTTGTTTTTTTTAGCATATTATTTTATCAATGCAACTCATAAAGACATTAACCAGGTGTACTAGTCATCACTGCTACTCAGCTGTTCTCATTATTGATTCAGCTGTTTAGTGTATTGATAATTCACTGTTTAGTCTTTAAGGCTCTATGTGTAAGATTTAAAACACTCTGGTTGCTGTAAAGTGAACCGTGGTCTGCATCCTGTTGCTCATGCCTGCACTCCATAGTCAGATGGAAGCGAGCATCCTGGGAATTTGCCTAAACAGGAATATGACAAACACAAGACCCAACGTAACGGACTGACACATCCTTTTGGATTTTCCCAGAAACTTTGTTCTGAGGCCTTTATAAAGAAACCAGGGTCTCGTTTTTAAAGCTACATTACAATCTGTTCATACAATGACAATAAAAATGGGAGTAATACACCACATTTTCTGCATTTGTCAAGAAAACAGTATTTAAGAATCAAAACATTTTTCTGTCACTCTTCAAACCAGTCGGTTCAGACCATTAGTTGACTGCCTGACCCTTCATCGTTAACATCTTTGTAGAAACTGTCGTACTGTACAGCTCAGTTCACAGTTATTTCTGTAGGAGTGCATCTGTCAGCCTTCTCCTGTTTCTCACTACATCTCTTTGAACTATTTCATGTGTCTGTTGTGCTGTGAGGACTTTCGACATTTTACCACCAAGTGCGGCTCCTGATAAGGACAAAGGACATCGTCTGAGCCGTATATCTTCAAACATACCACTCCCATGCCTTTTCTGGCCATCACTGGAAGACCCGTCATCCATGACTCATAGCAGACAAGTTGGGGGTGAAGGGATCGGTATTGAGTAATGCTAAATGACCGATCAAACTGCCCCCGGACACTCCTAGCTCCTACTAAACATCACAACAGGGTAACTAAGGGAAGTGACTCAGTGATGCACAGAGAGCTGCAGACGCGTCTCCGCTCATGTCTACAATTACCAGGCCTGGTGTATATTATCTGCATCCGTGTCATGTGTTGCTGTACAACATCAAAGACATGTGTGTTTTCACACTTCGATATGGCGCTGCTGCTGCTGCTATGTCATTACAATGCTGACTAGAAGCCAAGGCGGGCCAGTAATTAAGCCAAGTCATTTTAATCCACGGTCACTAATTTAGGCCTTACAGCAAGAAGTTGGTGAGCACAGATTGCTAGTTTAACTCAGTAAATCAAACTTCTTCTTTAGATTCACTCGGGAGAAAAGAGACACCCTCAGGCTACAATTCTTTTCCAGGAAGTGAACGAGGTCGGCAAGAACAGGCTTGTCCTCCTGCTGCAGTCAACATTTCTGAATCACAGCTGTGGACGAGGCTCGACAAGAGAGTCTGGTTAACCAACCTGGCCTGCTTTAAGACCTCCTGGTCTCACTGTATCCTCAACCACAGTTTACACAGGCCATAATGGAGCTCCAACTGAGGATATTCTTTCCAAGTCATGACTTCACCTAACAAAGAGATGTTGTTCTCTGTTTTGCCCACAGGTAGGGACTTTAAAAGCCAGTCAGGTGGAGCTGAAATGTGTTTTTTAATACATAAACTACATTTCGCTGCCTGCTTTGACAAATCCACCCCAATGCTTCAACTACATTCCTCAGGAATAACAGGCTGCTTTGAAATAGGATCTTCACTTTCCAGGACAAGAAGAAAAAAATCCAGGTTGATGATTAAGGAATAATTAGTGACTGCTCCAGACAATGACAAGACTTGACAAATCCAAACCAACTTCTAACTCTCATGAACAATAAAGCTGTCCAACATCTGCCTTCAACTTATTTCCCATGTATAAGCACAGACACACTGAAAGACAGAGAGAACAAAACTTTACATTTATTCCAAGGCTGAATAAAATACGATATAAACCAGAGTAGGATCACTGTGCCAACCAAAGTCCCATCAGTCACTTCCTAAGTCAATAAAAAAGCATATTTTCTAAACATCCTATGGGTTTTAACACAAGTGAGGCTAAACTTTAGGATGCGTGCTAGCATGATGGATCCAGTCCAGTCCTCTCTCTCTGTAGCCGACCACACTGCCCTCTTTGGTGGCACAAAGCGGCTACTTCTGGCCTACTTTCTCTACAAAACCCAAACTAAGATTTATCGAGGGGCTCGCTTGACATGTAGCTGTAAAGATGCCAACGTTTCACAGGCCAAGCTGTTGAAAACAGTGAAGTCTGAGGAGACAAACTCGGAGTGTGTTTCGACCGCTAGCTAGTTATCGTTCATCCACACCCAAAGTTTTCCCCTGAAGACAAGCGTTCCTCGCTTCTCCCCCTTTTCTCCGTTTACATTGTTTTCTGTCGCTGGCACACCGGTCAAATGTGACAAATGTAGGTTAAAATAACAAAACTCACCTTTAGCTGACAAGTTATTGACGTTTCTGTGGGTTCAGAGTAACATTTGCGCCCCAAAAGTGTCCTCTTTCAAGGAAATAAAAACGGTCAGTGAGGCGAGGACGAGCTAAAGCTGTGATGAGGGTCCGCTTTGTTTTAGCTAATAAGCCGCACCGATGTGACAAGTACGTTTCCGACTGAAACCCGGGTGGAGCTAACGTGTATAAAACAATTAACTTTTATAAAATAAGTAAGGCTTGAGGGGCCCCTGGCTTGTCTGAACACGTTACGGCTCTGCTGCTGCTGCTGAGCAGTTTTTTTTCTTGAGACCCACTCCAACAAACCTCTTCTTCTTATTTAGACCCCGCCTCCGCAGGAGGAGCCGCGGCACGCAGAGGGCAGCGGAACAGGCACACCGTTGTGACCCGCCTCACCTCGGATGTGGTGAGAATGAACACGCACGCGCGCACAGGCACGAAAACACAATAAAGACCGAAAAGATAAAAACACACATAAGCTTTAAACAAACAGTAAAATTCAGATATTTTAAACATCATTTCAGTCAGAAAGTCTGCACTTTTATTCAGCTCAGTTATTAGACGCTCACATTTATAGTTTATTACATGCAAATATTGAATTTATGACACTCAGCTTGTTATAAAGCTTCAGTTACACGTAATGCAAAATATAAACAACAACTGAATGATGATGCATGATTACATTACACATACCACTATTATACTACATTTAAACACCAGCACTAGCCCCACATTTATCAGCTACAATATTTAAAGTTCCTGCCTTCGCCCTGAGTCAGCTGGGATGGGCTCCAGCCCCCCGCGACCCTGGTGAGGATTAAGCGGTAGATAGATAATGGATGGATGGACTATGTAAAGGTTCTTTCTCAAAACACATCTTAATGTATCAAAGTTACATATTAAGTTTTCTTTCTATATCAAACAATCCCTTCCTACGTTAAATAGGTATCCAGCATCACCTTACAGCACATTTTTTTCCCATTTTTATGCCACATACATGTACTGCATGATATTTCAAAGAAAGTGTTATTTTCCAGAGCAAACAATGATGAAACAGTGATGAAAGAAGTCTTCAGGTCCTTTACATTTGTAAAATTAGGAAATAATTCTCCCCTACAGGACAGAAGTAAATACACAAAAAGTACATACAAATACAAATATAATGTGAGCAGTGGACAATATTTAGCCACCATCGATATTTTGCTGATAATACTTTAGTGCAGAACTTTAACATGTAATGGGACATGATACATGTTGGTACTATCACTTTAACCAGCATAAAGGATCTGAATACTTCTACTTTCAGGGTTACTTCAGGTGAACAACCACATATTTGAACCTTTGCAAACTGTTTTTTTTTTTTTTTTTTTTTT